TATTTATATTTTTGTTTTTTATGACTTGATAAAAACAAAACGCGATCTTCTTACTCTTCCACTAAACAACGTGTCACATACACATGTTGCTTTGTAATGTATATCGAAATTTGAACCATATATTGCGCATCTGCTACACCAGGCTCATATTTGTCAGGTAATCGAATTAAATTCAAATGGAACGACGTTCGTTATATTAAAAAAAAAAAAAGAAAAAAAAAAAAATTAAAATAAATAAATCACATTATAATAATAATATCCATCTCCAATGTTGATATAGTTACTGGACACACACTTTGACAGCTCACTAATTAATTGATTGTAATCTATAGTCAGTTTACTTTATTCTTTCTTTCTTCCTACGATAATACTTTTAAAAAAGTTTGTTCATCTCTTCTTTTGTATTTTCTTCTTTTTTTTTTTAAATCAAGTCTTAATTTAATAATTTCCCTATCATTTTTTGATTTTGTTTTCCTCCAAAAGTAACTACAATTAGTGGATATCATGCACTTAAAAAAAAATAATAAAACTTAACATAAAATGCCATTCCAAGGAAATATATATACATATGTCGAATTGTCGCAGCCTCGTTGAGACGTGAACACACCACACCGTAGTCATTGAATTCTTCCAATTTCGCAACCATTCACCATTGATTAAAACGATTTCAATTCCAAAGTTTTGACGCATAACCGCAACACTTTCTTTACATCTTGCAAATACTCACATCACTAGCAAGAGACAAGCGATTAGTTGAAATTTTTTTTGAAAGACTTTCAATCACTTACTTATCGTGGCTGAAGTTAGGTTTTAGCATATTTAGGGCGGCACATGGATATCAACTAAAAGCTAATAGGTGCGAAAATAAGCCATAACCAGCCTCCTCCAGCGGTTTTTTCAAGGGCATGGCATCGTCGAAAGACATTTTCCTGCCAGAATGTGGGCTTCGTTCAAAAGGACAATTGATCTTTTGAGATTATCTACGCAGAGACTTATATTTCGGGATGCAAGCACGTACTACACGGAATAATAAGTTGAAGCTTGCTAAACAGGTGTTAGTGATAAGAAAATATACGTGACAGATAAGGCAAGTATGGACGCATACCGAGACCGAGAATTTTCATGCTCAAAAATCAGCTTATAAAGAATATCCGCAGTCATTTATCCTTTAATGATCCGTACGCACGGGCATTTGTTCTTAATGCTGAACCGTGTTATTTAAAAGCCCGTGCAAAAAAAGACCGTGTAAAAAAAACTTGATTATATTATTTCATAACTAATTTCCTTACTAGATTGCAAGTATTTTAGTTCGGTTTTGCTGGTTCTTCCTATCTAAACCATAGTTTTCGATTTAGCAGCGCTGTCCTCCTTTGCATAAATGTAAGCAAAACTCGCAAAACTTGCATTGTGTGTGTGTCCACAGATAAAATGAAAGCGCACTTACTGATAATATTAAATTCCGATTTTTACGTCATGATCCATTCCGTCACGTCCACTCGACCTTGGCGGATTTCCTTATAACATTTTATTGTTATGAATGTGTGTTGACCAAGATAAGGCATTTTTGAAAATATTTTGCTCATATCAACCTAATTTCATTAGGTCATTGCACATACTATGCGTTCAACGAGTATACGGGTCTATCGCTAAAGAGGTCGTCACAGTTAAAGCAACTCATTAGCACAATTTTACAAATGAAATATTTATGTAATAAAAATTAAAATCAACAACCACAATGTTCAGGTCACCAATTACGCTGAATAACTGTTTCTCCGATCGTCTGCATTTTTTTTGTATTCACCTCTTTATACACTAAAATATTTTGCATTGATAATTGTGTAATGACTTTTATTTATCTTTTTTTTGCTATTTTTATATGCGCTAAGAGTTGTATACAAATGCTTTGAGTAAATACACAAGCGCTATAATAACATAAAAAGAATAGCCAGTTACATGATACTTTGCTTCAATCACTGCTAGGTCTGCTAGAATATACACATCTGTCTTTGCTCCTGAAACTCTGCTTTTGAGTAGGTACGACGAAGCATCTCGATTTTTGTCATTAGCAAAATTCTTATGGCTTCCTCTGCAAGGAGATCTTAGGAAAACTGGAAAACTACACCAGCTGCACTCAATTCTTTTTTTACACGGTAGAAAATTTCCTTAGAAAACCGCGTAAAAAATTGTGTAAAAACATATGTATACGACATATGGTAAATTTGGGGATATGTCCAAAATGAAAAACCCTAAATAATTCTCAATAAACCGTGCAAAAAAAATAATAATAAAATCGATATTACATATTTATAAAACAAAACCAATCCATTTTTGTTACGAAAAAAACGAAAAATACAATTAGTGTACCGTCGAAATTTTACTTTATTTAAGTACTAAAAAAATTTTAATCTATATATTTTATTGCATCCTACGAAATAAGAAAACAAGTACTGAAAATGTGCTGCGTTCAAGTACAACTAGATAAAGAAGAAGAAAAAAATCACCATAAAACTGAGGTATTCTCGGTAGTAGATCAAGTCACTTACGTGTGCGGGGGTGTAAACTGTCCGATTTCTGATCGCAGTATTTCTGCAATTGTACTTTGCCGCGTAAGACACTGTCTGTTACTTTGATATTCGATCTAGAGCAAAAAATTCGTGTAAAAAAGGTGTATTTGCTCCTAATGCTAAACCGTGTTATTTCAAAGACCGTGTAAAAAAGACCGTGTAAAAAAAGTTGAGTATATTATTTCATAACTGAATGTAAGTAAAAGACTTTGGAAAAAAAATTTACGCGTGAATGTCAGGGCTTAACCTAAAAAATATTCTTTTTATATTCGATTGAATAAATTCATGCTCGCAGTAAACAGTTTATTGCTATACAAATCAAAATCAATATGTTGCCTACAGACTAATAGGAAAACAAAATGAAAATTCTCATCTTTCCACTTAAAAAATTTCTATTTTAATTTCAAATTTCTCTCTCTTTTTAATAATTAATTTCAAGAACTATATCGTTTGTGTTTGTTTTATAAATTATGTTTATGATTGTGTACATAATGAAAAATCTTGTTCATGCGATATACATTCGTGTTTGTGTCCATTGGAAGTATCATCATATATCCATCAATCACGATCGATTTTCAAAGTCAATATCACCAATCAATTGCTCACCAAATCATCGGCTTACAAAGATAATTTTTCTTGCTCTTTTTTTTCTTTTTGTATTACATTTACTACGAAAGTCATTAAAAATCATTTGAATGAGTGAAGGATATTATTTTAGAATTCAAATTTTTTTCATTGCTGACTGTGCGAGAGGTTGTCATTTCATTTCATTCGTATTTCGTCATCATATATTTATCATAAATAATGTCTTTGTTGCTGAATGATTGTCAATTATGACTTGCGCTGTATATTATATATAAATATGTAGCAATTGTTGTTGCTGTTGTTTTATTGTTATTGTTATATTGCAATTGTAGATAGGCGATTATATTAAGCTCTCTTGCAAATATTGGTATAAAAAGAAGAAAAAAAAAAGAATGATTTGCATACTTGCGGTATAGCAGTTCATCAGAGGACTGGCCAACAAATGAATAGAGCAATCTTACAAGGTAGACGTCACAGTAAACTGAAGGTAGCGTTGATTCGTAGAAATATGGAATCGCGTTGAATACGGTTTTGGTATTAAATTTTAAAACTAAAGTATTTGCGAAATATTCACCTTTTTATCGTTGAGCAAATTGTCGCGCACAAATTTTGAGCTGTGTGTTGCACACACTCACACAAACCTAATATACCCCTACATCGCAAGCGATATATGTAGGCTATAATGTATTATTATTATTATTATTAATAAACCTCAATTAGTTCCACCTTTATATCCAACAAATGTTGAGAAAATCAAAATCCAAACATTTTGGAGAATTCACCTTGGTCATACAATTTCAACTCACCAATGAATGCGAATTTCATCGTTTTGAAACTTTTGCCCGAAATCCCACATTTAATCCAATTAAAAGTAGTGACAATGCAGTTCAGACATTGGACATGGACTTTGACATACGTTTCACGGAGAAGGGATATTTCTGCACCTAATGTAAATTACAGATCTAATATTAAAAATAAAACTCTTTAAAAGAGTGTCTAATGACGTGGATTTGATCTTTATTTGAACCGGTGCTTATACCCATATATATACTTGCGTATAGTTATGATTATGATTAATGAAGTCGACAGCCACGTGTTTCTATTAATAATGGAACATTTTATTATTCCGATTATAAGTTATTAGTATGCAAGACAACAATTTCACACTTTGATCGCGCGATATTTTTAAGAGAAAGTGTTAGCTCTTTATAAAAGCATATAGATGTATATATGGAAGTTGGCCACTCCTGCACTGTATATATCAATCAAAGAATGTTTAAAATTTAATTAAAAAAAAAAAAAAAAAAAAAAAAAGAAAGAGGAGCGCAACGAGGTGAAGCAGCTCACCGATTATTCATTCCATCGTTTAAATATTCTTTATTAACGCTTACGTATGCATAATATATCCAATATAGCATTGAGCATAGTGTACAAATACAGTTTGTCAGCACTATTTTAGTTTATGTGTACATTGCCTCCTTAGTTACGTACGTTTGGTAATAAAATGAATTTACATTAGAATTATTTTTTGGTTTAAAAAAAATTTTTTTTTTTTTTTTGGAAGTTTGTACGTGCGAAATCATTTTAAATTAATATATACGATACTAATAGCAAATCATATCACTTGTACTATCTTTCGAAAATAAATGCTTCTTGGAATGCAGCTCGTCCAACGTTTTTGAATTTGAATTTGAATTCAAATTCGCTAAGAAATCCACCAACAAAACGTAGGTTTCTTATAATACGATTCCCTAGCGTTTATTCATTATGCAATAACAATGTTAGAGCAAATACATATCATTGTTTCCATTAATAATAATTAATAATTAATATATATATATATATATATAGCTTCTCCAGCTACGGGCAAACTGATGAGTATGCGTATGACGACATTACATGAAGAGCCGTTCGGTGGGCATCGCTCGTTAGCGGAAGAAGCCGAAGATAGTTATAGTGATTCAGAGTACGTGAATGGCTATGGGCAAGAGCGTGCACAAAGTAACAATATCAGCACCAATAATTACCAGAATCGTTCGCGTCTTACTTCTTCCAAGACCATGGATTCATTCATGGATGTGAGTACACACACGAATTATGGATGCTTGAACTATGCAAGTACAACGAATGCCGCTGCGAAACAGCTAACTGGCTTAGCTACACCTAGCATGAGTTCGTCAACATCGAGCGGCTACGGTTCACAGGTAATGCAGTTTAAAATTTTGAATAATACGAATTTACTTGTTGTGCTTGGTTTTTTTCAATCTCTTTTAATTTTTTTTTTTTCTCAATATTTTAGGCGGTGTCTTGTACAAACTTATCGAACGACGATTTGGTTTCGATGCGATCCATGAACATTGAAGAGGCTCAAGGTAAGTTATATATAATTATTGAATATTTTTGAAACATATTCTAATGTGAGATTAGATTACGATCAAGTTAACTCCAATTCACCGCCCAATCGTTCGGCTACACGTATTAATCCTTTCCTTAAGGATATGACAAAACATGTAAACAATCACAAAGAAACGATTTTAAATCTTTTCGAGCTCCAGGAGGCTGGCTCTCAAAATTCCCAACTTATTGATGCTAACAAACAAATGCCACAACAAATCGATAGCAATGATTCTGCCAAGTCAATAAAAGACGCTATCAGCGTTACCAATCATATCGAAGAGTCGAACATCATCGTGAACGAAAAAAAAGGTCAAAAGATAATTGAATTGCAATCAACGGTAACCGCAAATAAAAATAAACCAAAAACTACAAGCAATAATAACAATGATGTTGATACCGCGACATCTGCTACTGCACTTAGTCAGTTAATTCCCAGTAATGGTAACAATAGCAAGGCAGACAATCGAAATGGTAACGAAACTTTCGATGAGCGGAAGACCGGGCCTCAAAAAGTAACTCAACCGAACAGTAAAATTCTTAGACGGAAAAAATCAAATCAAAACAACGGTAATACTGTGACGGGTACAATGTACAATAGCGACCATAATAGCAATAAGACAAATTCAATACAAAGCGAATCAATACTAATTTCTTCTAATGGCCGCCTTAACATGTCCAATAGCTTGGAAAACGAAGGTCAGTCAATCAGCTCGAGTAGTATAGTAATATAAGTCAAAACAATTATACGGAACTTTTATTTTATTTGCAGACGACAACAAATTTACAGAAATAAATTTACCTAGTTGGGTGGTAGTAGGTGAATCGGTTCTTATACGACCCTATAATACCAGTGGCTTGATCGCTTACGTTGGCACAACGCACTTCCAGCCTGGTCTATGGATCGGAGTCGAACTTGATACACCTACTGGCAAAAATGATGGCACTGTACAAGGCATACAATATTTTCAATGCAAGGCAAAGCATGGAATATTTGTACGATCCGATAAGCTGATCCTAGACAAGCGCGGCAAAGCAATGCGAGCCTATAAAGCTGAACAAAAACAAAGCAAAGGTAAGAAAAAATCAAATAAATTAAGGGAAAGAAGGAACCGAAATTTTCAAGTGCTTTTCTCCCCATTAGCTGAGACTAATTTAACCCGTCCTAAAAGCCGATACGAAACCTTAAGCAATTCCGACAATCGTAAATGATTGTATCCGAAATGTTCGCATCAAAAAGAACGCTTGGTGGCGAGTTGTCGAAAACCCACACTAATTAGGGCAGCAACTACTACTGCTCCGACGACTGACGCCACAGTAACGCCAACTGCTGATTTCCCAATCAAAATGAAACAATCGCCTCATCTATGCTCCACGATCGGGTACAGTAGTGAATTTTCGGTTGCTACGAAGGAAATTAAAACGGCATCGGTTACCCCAATACGTTGCCATGATGCGAACATTAATTATAAAAAACTAAATCGACGCTCAACAGCATTTTAACTAAAAAACAATTATGTAAAGCAATAAAAATGAGGTAGTGTAGCGTCATTAAAAAACCAGCAATATAACAAACGATTAGAATACGAATATCAGTAGAAAATGCATTATTTTCATGTATTCATTAAGTTTAAAAATTACGCATATACTTGATCCGCTTATAAGCTAAATATAATTACTCCTCCACTCTTCACATGCAGTACACAGTAACATAACAAGTTCGTTTTTTTCCCTATATACCGCCTTGTAGTTATTTATACATACCATATATAATTTTTTTTTTTGTTTTCATTTTAAGGATAATAATTTTTTTTACAAAAATATATATTTATTTAGATACACTTAGGACTATATTTTATTTCTACTCCTAACATTTTTTTTTTTTCTTTGAAATTTATTTGTTCAAACAATTTTTTATATAATTAGAAACCATAACTGATGTTGTGATATATATATATATATACATTTTATTAAATGAGAAAAGTGAGAAGGAATTTTTTTTTTTTTAATCTTATTATTAAATAGAAGAACCGTTAAGTCCTTTATTTCAACGAAATTGCTTTCAATTATGTCGTTTAGAAGAAAAAATTTTTTTTTTTTTTTTTGGAATATGTGTGTAACATATTTATTTTTTAATGAAACATTTTTCAATGTTATTTCTATGTAAATTTTAGTTTTATTCTTTATGTATATTTTAATATTCTTTTTCTTTTGTTCCTAATAAATAAAAATAATTTATACGTTTTTTTTTTCCTTTTTTCTGTAAATTGAGTTTAAAACCTTAATTAATAATTTTAGAAAACATTATGCGTTATTTTTTTTTGATTTGAAATCCTTTAGATGACATAACTTCAGTGCAAATTATCTGGCGTTTAATTAAAATTAAAAATTGAAGTGTCAGTGTGTGCCATTAAAAGATGTGAAAAAGATTTTTCTCCCACGAATGTTGATAAGAATATTCTATCGTATTTCTGTTGTTTTAGTAGCTTTATTATGTAGACAGAAGTTTTATTTTGTTTATTTATGAAGGCCACCCGAGCATATTTCTAAGCATGGGAATGTTTGGCCACTAAGATCATGCGACTCTTTTCTTGGGATTTTGCTAAGCCATTTTCCATACTCCAATAAACCAAAAAAATATTCACAACGATACTGTTCGCGGTGTTGGTAAAATGTGTGAGGATCAATATGAAAAATTGGTTAAAGATGGGGTTTTTTCAAAAATCCACAAACGATCATTGACATGAAATTGTACTGAGAAAAGTTAGTAGTATTTGAGGTAGACCCATCTTTGATTAATCTGATTTAATCTGAATCACTTTCTGAACCGATTTAAACTTGTGTGTATGTCTGTCCCACCTTTTTCTTATATTATAATTTTCCATTTATGTAAATTTGTGTTCAAACTAGATGTCGCAACTTTGAAGATATTTGGATGAAATTTGATGCACTGATATGTTTTGGCCGAAGAACAAACGCTGTTGAAAATGATTCGGTTCGAACCACTTTCTTGATCAGTCCTTATTCTGAAACATTGTTAGATGAATAATTGTATTAAACGATGTGGTTGTAGGGTATTTAATGGTAGGCAGTGTCTCTTCGTGGAATTAAAACACTCGTCCTCTATGAGCTGACTCATTTATCGCCTCCTACAGCTACTTCATCTTCACATTGAAAACGTTTTATTAAACCTCCCGAAAATTATTTATCGAAACTTTTGGCATTTCCTATATGGCACGCACTGTATAGATGGGGAAAAAACGGTGTCGTAGTAGTCTTCATAGTCTATCAAAATAATAGTAACATTTTAAGCAGAAACATAAAATCTTTAAATAACAAGAAAGTATATAGAGATAGGATCAAATCTTTATGTATCTATGCCCACCACCACTGGCTGGCATTTGTTATTTTTTAGAAAATGTAGTTCGAAATGAAAGAAATTATATGACAGTGTTGTAAACGTAATATGTAAGACTTTTAAAAAAATTTTCATAACATAAACACGCACACTAAACATAACATGCTCTAAGAATAACATCCTTAACATACCCGAAGGGTATATATAATAATTATATAACAATGTAAGGTTATTACATAGACAACACTAAGGAATTGATTCCCAAATCTTGTTAATTGTAAGCGAACTACTATAGAAAGCCTTAACTGAATGTTAAGCATAATCGCATGAGATAAAAGCATTTAAGCAAATTGTATTCGCCCTTGAGCGAATCTTCGATATCCACCTTCAGCATTTGAAAATATTTTACTGAATGCAGACGTGTGAGGTGAGAATAGCTTTAGAAAGATTTTTTAGCTGACGAATATTTAAATCTTCCTACCTCTTGGAAACTGAAATTAAGTTTCAACGGTGAAGTTATATATACAAACGGATCGCAAACCTTTTGTCGACTAGATTTCAAACTATCCTCACAAATGCCTCCACCAAATATCGTATTTGCTGTAAATTTTAAGATATAATTTTTGACTTATTGTAAGCCATATAGTGACCACGCATATCGTGGCAGGAGTGGTGTTCTAAGTCGGGAAAAACTCGCAAGATAGTCAAAGGTTAATAGTGTATTAGATGAAGTTTGCCTAGTTAATACCCCTTCTTGTAGAGAATTTGTATTGGAGATCTTGTGAGATAGATAATTATAGTGTAACCTAATCTGCTTAGCTTCAGAACACCAAGCCAAGTTTATATGCCAAATGAGCTCGGCTGGAAGAATCGCTAGCTAACCTAAGCGAGTTAAAACGCCAGGTTTGAAATTTGAAAATAGAATGATGAAGTTTATTGAAACAATCAAGTACTTAGTAAGCTAAACTGTATACATAAATAAGAATAGAATTCAAACAATTAAAGCCTTGTAGGGCAGAGCTTTCAAGTAGGCACTAGGCGACCGATACTAAAACCCAGCTGGTTTAGTTTGCGAAACGAAAAGTACTCGAAATTTATTAGTTAACTTCATTTAAATGCGACATAAGGAGATTGCGTATATTAAGGAGTAGCGATTGGACTTGGATTGGATTCTTTAACGTATCCGATATTTAGTTTAAATTATAGATACAATTTAAATTTTTACAACGGGCCCTAAATGAGTTAAAAAGGCTCGTCATTATACATATATATATATATATATATACATACCGAATATGAAGTTTCTTAAAGAATTATTTGTGGCATATTAAAGTTTATCTTTCCTGATAAGGCCGACGAGTTAATACCACCATTTATTAGTTCTTAAATGTACGAAGGGCTAATAGTACGTTGGCAAAGAAACATTATTACTGACGAATAATGACGCTTAACGAATTGCATTCTTCGTATTTGCTTTTTAGTTAGTTCTAGGTTACTAGTTAACGCAATTTGATAAATTTTGAAGTGTGTCATGATGTTTATATCTTTTGTTTTGGACAAAGTGTACTTGTGGGAGGACCAAGTTTTATTTTTTTCAAAATCAACGGAAGGATTACTAGAATAGCGAATATAATAAAAAGTTTTAAAACAATTTTCAATGTTCTAATTCTAAAATTTATTAAGTAATTTATCCTATTCAAGGTGACAAACATGACCGGCCTTGCATTGCTAAATTATAGCCAATTCTATGTAGTGCTTGTGGTGGGCATAGAAAAAGAAGTCCATAAAAATTTTAAGAACTAAGAATCGATATACATGCAAATATTTTCCTAAAGTCATGTCAAAGGTAAAAAAACATAAAATAATTTAAAAATTATTTAACGCAATCCAACTCTCTTAATCGTAAGACCCTGACTAAAGCAGCATTTAAAAGAAAAAGAAAAACGGAAATACAAACTATGTTGATAATCTATTTAAATATAATGTTGAAAAAATTTATTCTAATCTTTAAAAAAAAAAAAAAAAAACTACAGAGAAAACAAAAACAAAAAGCAAATTGCTTTCTATTAACAACCTGTTGTTCTACATACGTAAGTATCCATCCAAAAATATGACAACAAAAAAAAAAAAAAAAACAAAAGTAAAAATCGTGTAATTTTTAAACAATAAATGCAAAATATTTAAAATATCGATAAATATACACAAAAAATATAGTAGATATGTTTAGAAATATTATTACAACTACAAAAAAATTAATAATAATAATAATAATAATAATAATATGTAAAGATGACGAAAGACAGAAAAAGAAAACCAAACCAAACTTTACAAGACGTCCAAACTTTTTTAAAGTATTGAAAAAGTTCTAATATGATATTTTTTATAAATTATTTATTTTAAACTTTGCGAAACGAAGAGAACAAAACGCATGCCGACAAAGAATATTTTTGCAAGTCACCAAATGTTGCATCCTCTTTATCCTTTTCTTCCCTTACTCTCTCTCTCTCTCTCTCTCTCTTTCTCATACTACGCTCTCCCTCTATTACTCTGAAAATATTGCAAAGAGTTTGTACATATATGATAATAAAAATCAATTACATCATTTAAAATGAAAAAAAAAAACAATAATATTAAATTCAATGAATAGATGAGAGCGTTGCGAAAATTCCATAAATTACCCAAAAATCATAACTAAACATTCAAGTTAAAATAAGGGCAAAAAGACCTGCACACTTTCCACTTCAGTGAACGAAACTCTGACATTGAAAATCAGAAGCTATAAAGCAAATTATACAAACAAAAAAAAAATTTTTTTTTTTTAAATTTATTTGCAATAAGTTAGTGGTCAGGGATTCAGTTTGAAAATTGACTCGAGAAATAGAAACTTGGTCATACATGTATTTAGAAAAACATTAATCAAAGTCATATATAGCGGTTCAGGGCAAAAAACCCAAATATCGGACGCGATCCGTCCAAAATAAGCAAAAGACTGTATAACCGATGCTTGCAAATATTTATTAGAGTCACTTCTTGACACTTTCAATCTAAAAAATCGGTACGTCCACGATCTGTAACGATCTCTAACGTGCTACCCACCATTGATGGTAATCGAGTACAGAAAAAGGTCTAATAGAAGAAAAAGCGCCCTGTGGTTGCCCTTAATTGATATTAATGCATGTTTCTTAGAGCCATCTGAAAAGTGATGGCAAGAAAAAAACGCCACGATCAGTTGGCCGACACAGCCCTTAGTCAGTATTTACAAACATTTAGTAAGTCCCAAAAAAAAAAAAAAAAAAATGATATATACAATCTCTAGCCGATTTCTAAAAAAGTGCTAAAGTGCTAAAAAAGAGGCGATTATCCGTTTTCAAGCGACATAAAACATAAGCTATAGCAAATGTTTGCAAAGATTCGCATCAAATAATGGAAGTTTCCGCCTTAA